ATTGAGGAGGTGTAGTTTCCTCTGAAACAGCTAAGCAGGAGCAAGGAAAGGAGCGAAAACAGCAAGAGCCACATCTCGTAGCCCAGCAGGGATAACATCCACGTAGGCTGTCTCCCTAGTGCTTCCTGAACAGATTTAAACCACAGTAGATTAGGATCAGACCCCCCAAAATGGGGAGATGGAAAGAGAAAAGCCAACAGACTAATTGTAGGCAGACAGAAGGAGTGTGTGGCAGCAAGCAGAAAACCCCTATGCGGGGAGAAGGGCCAGATGAAAGGGACACTCAGTCATAGGCAGCACCTTCCCTAGTGCTGTCACAACAGTGCTTTGCCAAGGACATGATGCACCCAGAGCCAGGTGGCATTTACCCCTTGCAGCTATTCAGGACGTGGGATTTTGCTGCACTTTAGAGCAGATTTGGTGGGGTTTAGATTTGGTTTTTTTAGGGTTGACATTCCTTTGACACCTCATCTGGCTTAGCGTTTCACTGAGACCTGCCTTATGTCAAGACATGACACTTCTTGGAGATGAGCCTGAGCAGTAAGCCAGATGAACCTGGTGGGTGGGTGAGAAGGGGAAGATCCCAGGGTTTGGGAAAGTTTATGGTGCAGCTGAGTTGTGCTGTCTTTTAGTGGCTTATAAGGAAGAAATTCTTTACTGTTAGGGTGCTGAGGCACTGGAGTGGGCTGCCCAGGGAAGTTGTGAATGCTCCATCCCTGGTGGTGTTCAAGGCCAGGTTGGACAGAGCCTTGGGTGACTTGGTTTAGTGTGAGGCGTCCCTGCCCCTGGGAGGGATTTGGAACTGGATGATCTTAAGGTCCTTTCCAACCCAAACTATTCTATGATTCTTATGCTCCTTAGAACTCTGCTGGATGCTGTATTACCCTATCATGGTGCCAGGGTCCCTCTCCAATTATGTATTGTGATGTGCATTGTGTTCCTTCTCTGAATCACTGCCTAGAGGACCCTGACTTTCAGCAAGGACTCTATGAAGTGCCTAAGCTTACAATTTTAAAGGACAGTGTGGAATTAATTCCATCCTCTTGCAGGAACTGATTTTTTTCTACTGGTAAACAAGGAATTTTCTGTGTTATCCTGTATGTGCTGTGATAGAATTTTCCTTTTCATTTCCAGAATTGCTTCCTCCTTCTACAAGAAAAAAGAAACAGAAACCACAGTTCTTCCTCTCTGCTTCCATACCTTTTCAATCCCTACCAATTCTCCTATCCATTACCAGACAAAGCTGGCCAGTCATTTGTTTGGTAGCAAATCCCTTAAGAAAGGAATAAAATTAAGAGAAACCAAGTTGTTGTGCTTTTTAATGCATTAAAAAATAGGATGGGGAGGGAAAAAATAACACATTTAATTTTACACCATGCGTCTCTATTCATCCATCACCAGCACTGGAACACTTTATTGCACTGAAGCTGGCACTCACAGTGCAGAGTTTCGCATTCAAAACACAGTCCGCGTCAGTGGCTGCATTGTTCCTGGCCACCCATCGTCCTCCATGGCTGAGGCCCACACGTCACTTGCTGGGAGGGTGGAGGGAAGTGACTGGGAGAATGAGGACAGCCTGCTATCAATATTAACAGTAACAATAATCCTAATAATTATTATCAGTGCCACTCCTGGCGCAAGTTCTCTCCTCTTTCTTTTTTCCTTTTCATCTGAAAAGCTCTACTTTGCGGGGAAGATGGATTGCTTTGTTTTCAGACTAAAAATACCCTCTGAATTTCATAGGGTGTTTTTTCTCTCTCCTTACTTAATGGGATGTTTATTACTTTTGCTTCCTCACTGGGCAGAGGAAATGTTAATGGCTGCCTCCTTGTGCTGCTCTTGCCTCTTCAAGCCCTCCTGAGGCTAAATGAAGAAAGTCAAAGGCTGCATCAGTGTTCTTCACGGCATGAACCTGAACTCTGCTGTTTGCTGTCATGACCCTCATGAGGTTAACACAAATAGAAAGACATATCCAAACGAACATCATTTTCCTCCTGTGCACATCACTGACAAGGTGGTAGTGTATGTTTGTTGCTAGCAAAGCAAGCAAGCCCCATGTTGAAAGGCCTGATTCGTACCTCATTTATGAAGTTTCATCTGCCCTTATGCCGCATGGCTGAGAGCTGAATCTGGCCCATGTTTGGCCACACATTTGAGTCCACCTGCCCCCTTTAGGATGAACCTTTAAGTGTTCTAGTAAAAGTTTATGAATTTAGTGCTTTTTTAGCAATACACACTGAAAATCACAGGTCTGCTAAAGAAGGAAACACAGTGGGATGGCTGTGAAGCCCTGGTTCATCTCCTGGTGTGGCTTGGTTGACAGAGTCCCACTAGATCCTCACCTCTGCAAGGATGATGTGCTGATCTAAGGCTTACCTGCAATCCCACCTTCCCCTGCAGCCCTGGTTTTGCTTTACTATTTCTATTTGGGTTTCATGTTAGCACCCTGATGGCAGTGTGAGATGAGGCCCAATGGTGATGGCAGAGGAGAACTGGGAGATCGCATTCACACAGGGAAAATGGGTCATTGTCCTTTTTGGCATCAGTTTGCTGGGCTGTCAAACCATACCCCTGATCATGTAGTAAGCCAGAAGAAGCTGTGCAGCCACATGTCTTTGGCAGTACCAACTACCAACACGATGATGAGAATGGCTCAGACTGCTCCCCAGCTTACCTGCTCCTGAGACATCATGTATTTCCCATAGGTGAGACTGTGTTAAGTTTCTACCTGTGGATGCTAAGCACCCACATTCTCCTTGCAGACTATGGGATGTGAGAAGGGTGTTAGTGGTGGTCAGAGCCTGCTTTTCCATCTATGAAACTCATGGGAAGATTTCCAAGTTGCAGACTCCCTATCATGTGCTGTGGGCAGCAGGAATCAACAGGAAGTTCATGAGGTCATTACGGGAAATACTGCTTTGTGGTTATTAGCAGCCAGACCAGTCCCATGGAGAATAAACCACAGCCCCTTTTCCCTGTGAAATTACATAGTCTTACCTGTCCTGTGAGTGACAACAGCTATGATCCTTGAGGAGAAATGTCAGAGGAAGCTAAGGAGTACTCAGATTTGGAGGGGACGTCAAAGCCTCTTTTTACACAATATTGGGTATATCCTCCAAGAAGTGTAACAGCAACAAAAGCCATGTCAGTTTGGATACCTCCAACTAACTTTGTCCAAAGGGACACAGGACATTTCCATGGTCACACTGGGATATGATGCTGCTGTTGTCAGCCAAATCCATGTCTCTATAGCTCTGAGTGTTAATATCTGTCACTTCCCAGCTAGCTGCATTCACATCCATCATTGCCTTGAAGCCATAAACTAGGCCAGAGCTCACCTGGCTTTAACAATTCTATCACTCAGTGGTGACTCGATTTACCTTTTTCCAACTTTTTCTTTTGCTTTTCCTCCTTCTAAGCTATTTCTCTCATTTCTGTCTTCCCCAAGCATTGCTGTTAACAAAGGATTACCCCTAAGCATCCTTGCTCTTTGTTGACTAATATTTCTTAGCCATGGGGAGCCACAGCTTGAGTCAGTGTGAAGCTGTGTCCCCTCAGCTCAAGATAACAACAGAGCAGCTGCCTCATGGCAATGGGTTGGCTGCAGCACTAATAACAGAAAGGGTAATGTTAGGTTGCTTCTGAAGGGAAGGGAGCCTCATTCAGCACATCCTCATTCCAGTCTAATTCAACCAGCTTTCCCATTTCCATTATTTAAGTCACTGTAAATGAGAGATGGGTAATTAGGGACAGCAGGGAAGCAGAGAGGAAATAGAGGAACGTGAGAAGCAAGCAGCAGAGTGTACTCATTTCTTCTTTCCAAATGTATGAGGCCCCAAACATCACTAAAAGACACATTAGATGAGGGCTAGTAGGAGCTGGGGATTGAGTTGCTGTATAAAGCTCTCCAGGAGCTTTTCCTTCCCCCAAAACTTCAGCACAGTGCCACTGTTCTCTGGTATACCATTACCCCAACACTGAACATAGCTGCTTGGTGGTCTCCGGCTGGAGAACATCATGTCCATGGGAGAAAAGCAGTGCAGAGGCTTCATATCTCTGCACTAAGAAAGGTGTGTGTTTGGGGGCATGCAGTGATTAGAGGAGTTAGGTGAAGGTGTGGGGGTAAAATCTGTTCAGGGCTTGAAGGCCTGGAAGGTCCATGGGGCAGGGGATGCAGGTCCCACAGGAGATGCAGTCTGCTCTGGGACAACAAGAGGAACAAGGATGGGGCAAAAAGCACCCTTTAAGGACAGGATTAAGAAGGATACGTCTGGGGCAGAAGTGATCCTGACACCAGTCTTCCCCTTGCTAGTGTCTCCCTATATGATCATGGGAATTTACTCAATCTGCCACCTTCTTGTAGAGGATATCTCTTAAGAAGGCTGGTCTCAGCTGGAAGGAAGACTGCTGAGAAGGGAACATTCCTCCCTACAGATGTGTTCAACATCAGAAAGGCCAAAATGGGGGAAAACAGAAGGAAAAAAAATAAAAAAAGGAAGAAAAGGAGAAAAAAAAGAAAAAAGAAAAAAAAAAAAAGGAAAATAAAAAAGGGGAAAAGAAAAAAGGAAACTCCAAAAGTTACAATTGCACCCAGGGTTACTTATGCTTGATTTTAGTGAAAGATCTCTAAAGATTTAGAGTACTTTCTTAATGTCTGTCAGATGTGACATAGGGAGAGATGATCTTGCTACAGGACTAAGGATAGACAGCACATCCCTGTTACTGCGCTCCTGATTTCAGCCATGGCAGCTCCCTCCCATCACAATAGGATTTAAGCTCTCCATGGCTCTTCGCAGGAATGTTGCAACAGCGACAGGGCAGGATCTGGGGGGAGATGCAGGAGCATCTGTCCAACGGAGCCAGCGCTGCTCTGCCAACTACCGCTGCTGCTCCCTGCTTGACACAGATGGTGGCCTCACCATTGACCTTCTCAAAGAAACCCCATCCCACACTGTGGGGGAGGACGCAGAGTCCTGCATTTCCCACCTCACTCCCCCATTTTCTGCCTGTTTCCAGCAGTCGTGTTTGGCTGCAGAGAGGAAGGGGAGGGAAAGGCAGCAGCTCCATGTTAACGGGTTCCCTAAATGAAAAGCCTGGCAGAGGTTCGTATCCATCCCCGCGGCTACCTGAGGCGTGCTGAGCCATCCCTATAATGAGACACCGAGGTGGGTGGGTGGGTGTGTGGGGGAGAAGGGGTGAGTGGGAGCAAGGAGAGGGGCAGGGAAAAAGATGAGCAACGAGTGTGTGGATCTGCTGCATGCTCCTGCCTTTTCCCTCCTACCTGCAAACAGGGGAGGGAGAAAAGCTGCCAGGTGAGCTTTGCAACGCGGGGGGGAAGTGGGCCAGGGCAGTACCCACAGGGCATTGTTGAGATAGGGATGCTGTGGGGATGGCTGCCCAAGTGTGGTGCCTGTTGGTGGGAGGGGGGTTATAGCCGTTTCTGCTCCTCTGCAATGGAGGTGGGGAGGGTCCCTGCAGTGCTGCTTTGCTCAGTGCCAGGAAGGCTCTATGAAAAGCTGCTTAGGGACTAAAAGAGGGGGAAACGCTAAGATTTAGAGCTTTATGCCCCCCCCAATGAACACATGCAGACCCCTCCTTGACATCCACTGCCTGATCTCCAAAATCCTCCAGCTCCTTCCCCATGTTTTGCATGTGATGGATGCTAAAAGCACCATCTGTCTCTAATGTCAAGTCTTGTGAGGGCAACACAGTCCCATCAGGGTAGCCCTGTGTTTCTGCCAGTAGTTGTGCAGGAACCTCACTGAACATCAGCCTCTACCCAAAGCTCTATTTTGGGGTGTGTGTGAGCCTTAAAATCATATTTCTCACTTGCATTACTAACAAGGGGGCTGGCATTGTATAGAATAGTCGTGGGGTAGGTGATTTTCCTGGAAGTTGCTAAAACCATGTTCAAAACACCTCTCTTTTAATTAGGACATGAACTGTCATTTCTTTACAACTGAAGAGCTCTGACCTACACATAGCAAATTAGCCATTTTCTGATAACGTTGGATAACTGATCAAACATCCACCAGACCAGACCAAGGTAGAGATTTGCCAGTCTTAAATCTTGGAATACATGCCCCATGCATCCCATATCTCACAGGATAGCTAACACCATCTCCCTCTGTGCATATTAAGTCACATACAAAGAATAGGGATCCCATTAGGAGCAACCATAGAATCATAGAATAGTTAGGGTTGGAAAGGACCTTAAGATCATCCAGTTCCAACCCTCCATATCTTGTCCTTACTCAGAAAGGTCTCATCAGGTGTTCAGCTAAGACACAAGGCTTCAGACCACGAGTTTGGAATCACACCATACGGAACAGGCCATCCCTGTTCACCCACACTGAAAGTGCCTTATTTCTTTCCTCAGCCCCATAAACAGAAGGTTTCCCCATCCAGTCCTGTCAGGTCTGGATGAGCTTGAGTCGTAGTTTGATAGAGTGCAGAGGAAACCACAGAGGCTCAAAAGCCAGGTTTGAGGCCAGGTTGGACAGGGCCTTGGGTGGCATAGTCTAGTGTCATGGCAGGGGGTTGGAACTGGATGTTCTTAAGGTCCTTTCCAACCCAAGCCATTCTATGATTCCATGATTCTATGAAAGGCAATTACCCAAGAGCTGCCAGGTAGGTTCCTGCTTGGTCTCTAAAAAGACATTTTCTTCTTCATTTGGGGACTGACCGACCAAAACAGAACTTTTTACTTTTTCTTTCCTCATCTCCTCGCTCCAAATATTTGTGCAGATTGCCTGTGGCATTTGGAACAGCTAAAATTATCTCAATTAAATATCTCCACTGTTTTCCTTTGTTCTCTTTTTGCTTTCTGGCTCTTTCCGTCCAGGCAGCTGGAACATGTTCTTTAGACACTCTTTAAAAACAAGAAAATAAAGCAATCCTACCCCAAGCACCCAACAGCTAGGACTCATGGAGCTTCAGATTAGGCTTTATTTAGAAACATGGATGAAATAGATGATGTGAAAAGTATGAAAAGACTCATTGCTCCAGTATTCATCTATAGAAAACAGGACAGTACACTTACTTAGTCCACCAAAATCATCCCATCAGGGATTACAGGTCTACTGGAGGTGTGTGGAGGGGAGAGGCCTAAAGGGCTGTGCACTGATTCTCAGGGTACACGTGGTACCATGATGTAGGAACATGATAGTGCTGCTGTGCTCTGGGACATTCCCCCTGTGTGTTCCCATGTTCATCATAACAATATCTGGCTCACTTCCTTGACCTCTCCAGCTTTGCAAATCCCCTACCAATCTGTTCTGGGAAAGAAAATTCCTTCCCAGCATCAAATTTGGCAGCTGCCTCATCCCTGTGCCTGTCAGCATGAATCACCAGAGTTAAGTAACAAACCCATTTATACAGCAAGATACCATCACTGTCCAAGCAATTCTTATGATTTTCATAAGAAAACCGTGGATTCTGCCTTATTCCCCCTCTTTTGTTCCCTGTTCTTTCTCCCAGTAACTTCTGGATGCTTTGCTAAGCAGAGGAAAACTTCAGAAGGATGCTGCGATGTGAGACAGAGTCAGAAAACCCCTAACAGGGGTTGTTTACTACTAATTTTATGAGTTTCTGGGAAACCTCTCAGGGAATTTCACCAAAGCCTGTTTGGCAAGAACAAGTAGATTGCTAATGAGGTAGTGTGCCACCTGGTTTGTACATCACTGTCTTGCATACATCCCTTCATACCCCTACACACTTTAATACACCTGTTATTTTTACAAATAACACTGTACAAATGGCACTGTTTTCTGTCTTCCTAGTAACCATGTGGTTGCTCTGGTCTATTGAAAGTTATTAAAGAAGTGATTCCTGAATGCATTTGGTTTATCCTTCTGAAGTTCAGATGGGTTGGAATGGCAGTGGGCGAACCGTCTCGAAAGAAGGTACAGTGCACTGTGAGTTTGTGGAGGCAGAGCAGGAGCTCCAAATGTTATTAAGCCTGGGAAAAGCAACAAGACTTGTGTGCTGAGCATAACTGCAGCACTGCAATATTCAGTAAATGGCACAAAATTGTGTCTCTCAGTGCTTAGCTCCAAGACAAAACTCTCAGACTAGCTGTTCTCCTGCTGTCTGGTCAGCCTGGGTCCATGCAGGGCACAACCAAGGAGATGGTTATTGCCCCCTCTTATCTGCACTGTAGCTGGGATACCCTCTTAAAGCTTAGAAAGTTCTGTCTCAAATACCTTCCTTTATCTGAAAACAAGAATTGGATGAACACAGACCTCTGCTTTTCCAAATTGCCCCATCAGTCTGAGTGAAACACATCCAAGATCAATCAGGTTTCTCTCTTTATGTAACAGAGTCACTAAAGCAAACACTGAAACAGAGTTTTCTCAGAAAAAGAGTGATTCAGACTCGGGGTGAACTTAAATGCCAGGTAGGGCTTTGTTCTTCTCTCTGTGTCTCCCTGTCAGTGAGTATGGGGGCATTTTGCTATAGAGCAGACATTGCAGATATTACTCAGATGCAGATCATTTCTCCTAGGCAAGCAGCAGGACCACAAACTGCATCCCTCTATCCAAGGTACATGCTTTAATCCCAGTGCTTATAGGTGCAGCAGTGCTGTTATTCATAGCTTGGATTCTTAAGAGCCAAACCTTAAAGGAAAGTTTTAAAGAACCCCTTAGTGAGACCCCCCCACTGAAGGATGGGCTTGCAATATCAGCACCTTTTACACATCACACTTACGGAGGGAGCAGGAAAGGGCTGTGTAGCAAGCATAGTCTGGCAGCCAGGCTTCATTAACTCTGTTTTTCAAAGATGCATTTATGTCTCCAGCATAACAATTGAGTTATCTCAGGCCACATATTCCACCCCCTTTAGTACATCCCCTCAGAGCTATTGCAGTAGATAGTGAAGACCCACAGTCCCCTTCATGCCATTATTTCACCCTTTCCCTAACATATGAAACTACCATCAAAGATGAGGTTTGCAAACATAGTTTGTTGCCTACTGGAGCCTTACATTGCAGAGCTAGTGCTGCTGCTGTTGCATATTCTGTGGCCCATTTTTGCTAATGGGCTCACTTGGGGGTCTGTTGAACTGCAGGGAAAATGGAGACAAGTCAACTTTCCTGCTGGGAGACCTTTGCAAACCTCAAAGACCCTTATTTTTTTTTTTCTCAGAAACAGGAGTTCCATGTTCTTAATTAGATCATTTTCAGAAAAGTCTGGAGAAAGAAGAGAAAATAGCGACAGCAAAATAGAGATAATCACTAAAACTGTTTTTCAAGTAAACCAGAAGCCCACTCAGTGTAATGAGACAGAAAAACATCAAGAAACCTAAAGGAAGAACATGTGCTTTATTTGACACATCAGAGCCAAGTCAGTAGGTGAAAAGCAAGAGCATCTCAACCCTGCAGTTTTCTGTCACTCCCCTGGTGCAGATACCTGGATGAAGAGTGGAGAAACAGGGCAAAATCCCATCAGTGGCATGGTTTGTGCCAGGAATTTTGCAATGAAAGCTAAGATTTGTGATAAATCTGATGTGCTCAGTGGGGTAGCAAAGGTCACCTCTCTGCACCTCCATCTGGTTGATGCATTGACCCCCATTTAAAAGAAGAGGGCACTCAGCAAGGGGTGATGAACCCACGTTGGCCCATAAAGGCACTCAGCAAGGGGTGATGAACCCACGTTGGCCCATAAAGGACAGCTTCATGCCTCCTGACATGGCCAGGCATGTCAGCTGTTGGGATAAGCATTCAGTGATAGGTTTCTGCATGGATGTAATGCAATAACGATCGGAAGCTGCATCTGGCTGATGCCAGATGAATACTCAAGCACAGGCAGATCAGCCCTGTGTGATAGGAAAACTGGAAGAATGGGAGGAGGGACAGTGGGGACAGAGGGATCTCCTGCTATAAGTTTGACATAGCTGAAGCCTCAAACACATGTGTGGGAGTGGTAGATCAAACAATTGGCTAATGGCATGAATTAACACCTCCAGCACATTGTGCCAATATGGTTTAACAGGCTGACACTTATCACGATGTCTCAAGCCAGGGCATGAATATAAGGAGGTGCCAGAAAGATGTACAGAAGGACAGCTAGCTCAGAGCCCACTCTGCAACATTTTCCATGAG